GTTTAATGAAACAATTATTTGCGGTATGTAAAATTGTTCAATCAAAATTTACTAATTATGTTCGCAATTTTAAACTCGTATTTTGCCGGTGAAACTTTCTAATATCACACACTTAACACAGTTAACACACTTTACTCTATATCATTGATGGATCCTTGGGAAAGGGGGGAGGATAAAACCCATCCTTCCAAATAAAAGAACAGTTTTGTTGAATCTGTTTTAAAAAATCTTAGAAAAAATACATTAAACGTTAAAGCAGGATCAAAAGTTTCACCAAGTTCTCGTTGATCCTGAAGTAAAAGCTAAGCGTGATGCTAAGAAAAATATCGAATCAAATAATTTTGCCCCCTCCTACCGACGTCAGAATCCGCTGGTGTTCTATATATATTATCTAACTAGCATTTTACAAGCCATATCCTGTATCGAATCTGCAGTTCTTCTATCAACAAAATTTATAGCAGACGCTTTGCATAATCTGCTCTCGATAGACACGACTCTATTATACCTGAGATTTTCATATTTATTAATATTGTACCTATTATTTATGTTCCAATTTTATTTAATACGTTTCATACGAATTATATATTTAAGGATATCGAAGGTATGGAAAAATATTGAGTATGTCATATAAAACATATCTGTAGTTGTAACTTCCTAAAATGTATGCTCGTTTATTCGAAGAGTTATTTTATCTTTATTTAAGAGAAATTTCGAAATCTTGATCTTGTCAAGAGGTAAAGTAGATATACTTTTCATATTTTATCTCAAGGTGGAAATGCAATATGTGACAATTCACTTATATCCGTTTCTGTCAAATACCGGTTAATTTTAATATTACAAATTAACTTACATTTTATCTTGTCCTAAGAGTTAAAAAAGGATAAATAGTAAGTTAAACCGAGATTAAAATTAATCTACTCCGATAAAAATAGACATAAATAATTACCGACAATAAAAGAGACTAAAAAATGATTTAAGAGATTTAAATACCTCACTATTTCATTTTGAAAGAAAAAGAAATTTTGCTTAAGATATATTAATAGCAACTGTGCTAAATCTTCTTCTCACATCAATTTGCACGACATATATAAGTATTTATTGTGTATTTCTTTTAATAAATTACGAAATAATAATTAAAATAGATACCTATTGGGTTTTGTGAAGAAGCAATATTTTACTGTCGAAAAAAAGTTGTCAAACGACAAATCGAGAAATTTTTTAAGAAGTGCAAGTTATATATGAGATCTTGCTTGTGGCTGCACTGCATACTGTATATTTGTATTTAAAATAAATAGATATATGATTAGACGTCAGAAAGAAAAAGAACAGATGAAAAGTACAAGTAGTTTAGATTAAATAATTATAAAGAACAAGTCAGATTGCTTTGTCTTTGTTCAATTGATTTTTTATCCGAGTTACATTCCGGAATACCTTATATACAGCGTTTAAAATTGGGACAAAATAACATCCTTACAATATGTAAACACCCGTTACATACTGTTTAGATCGCGAGACATTTACGTATTTGATCTTCATAATGTTATTAGCAGCAGAATACGAAAATATTATTTATATGTATAGAGCGTCTTGCGCGATCATCTGCATGGCAGTTTGTTGCTCCAAATCAAAGTGTCATCTCTTCGCAATACAATCTCTTCTTCATCTGTTCTTATTGTTACTGTGCGCAAGATAGCGATCGCATATACGTTTTTCTTTTGTAATATTGCTGGAAATTAATTAATAATCTGAATCAGAATGCATAAGCGAATTAAAACCATAAAGCGACATTATGAAGCCTTAGAGTATGAGATCAACAAGGAGGTGAGTATGATTGTGACTAATATACCTATATATAAATATGTTGAGGAATTGTGACATATAATAAGACAGAGAACTTAAAATCTATTATATATATTACTAATAAAAAGTTTTTTACGCGTGTTGTTAGGCAGCACTAAATAAGATATCTGCTTTACACTACGAATTGAAATGTGAGGAAAATAATAATTTTTTAGATAGGTAAATATGACTACTTAACCCTAAATTGAGAGTGATGTTAAAAAATGTAACAGTTGTCTCTATATATGTTGTTTTATTTTCTTTTTACATTTATAGATTTTCGCGGACAGCGTCTATAATAGAAGAGAATTTATCTGTTTTCAAATCTGCTTGTGATCATGTGGATATGATTACTACAATTCTTGACTTTTTGTACACTGTTAGTGGGAAATTGATGTTTGACAGTGAGTTCGATACATTCATAATATTCTTGTAATATATCTGTAGCGATATATCGATAATATCCTTTATTCGCGCTTCTTCATTTTTAATATTATATTTATATTAAAAAATAATAGCAATAATATACATAAAATAATATACGTACTAGACTGTATAATGGAAATTCTTCTTTTCACTATCTCTTTTTAGATGAATGCACTTATGATGAAATTAATATAATATATATTATGTATATTGTATGTGAGGAACATGAAATTCCATCATTTTTGAAAGCGGCCCTTATGTAATTATCCAATAAAAATACATGTATACATTATATATCAAACTATGTTATATAATTAAATTGTTTACTAAATATTAATTAATATTTCTTATTACGTTATAAAGGATATTCTTATCTATTTTGTAAACGTTCTTATATTTTTTAGAAATAATTCGAGGTTGGAATTCGTAGATGGTTATTATAGACCATTAATTTTAAGTAAGCACATTCAAAACATATTCTAAAAGTTTTACATTTTATAGCAATATTTTTAAAATTTACACAGATTACGTCTATGAGATGATTGTATGCCAAGATTCTGACTTGTATGCAGTTATTAGCCACTTAAGGATTACACCTTTTTTCCTGTTAAAGATATATACAATTTTTGTCCAAGAATCAATAAAACAGAAATTTTTATGGCTCCTAGAAAAGTATTTTCCAGATTTTTATACATACATGGATTTGCCTATTTCCATATTTCGTACAAAGAAGGATTTATATATGCTTCCGTCATACTTTGTTAATCTGAAGTCAATCAAAATGGTGTCTATATGGTCGGAAGATATTACAGCTGCAAAAGTATTAGCAACGACATTACGCGTACGTAGTACAATTTAAATGATGTAATACAAATGCCAAATTGTCTACAGAAAATGCTTTATTGAAATAATACGTCTGTTTTGAGATCAGAGAGATATTACATTCATAAATGCACACTTCGAGTTTGGCTCCAATATCAAGCTTTCTTGGAAATGGTCGTTTTCTACTTTTAATTTGATTCCACATCTTCTCTGGAACGATTTAAAGGATGGAGATAAAATTAATCCAAACGATTATACAGGATCAGTTTATGAGCTTTTTTATAACGGCGTATGGCAAAAGCCTGTGAAGAATGATTAGAATGAATACTGGATTCATAATAGCAATACATATGCACACGCAACAAAGTACGAATACATGCATCTTTTCTGCCTCTCTTCTGAGCTCTGCAACAATTTTTAAGAAACTTAATAAAACTCACATATTAAATTAATGTCTAAATTTATTGTAGGGAAGATATGTTTAAATGCATAAAATTAGCCGAGGAAGCATTCAAAAATTGGAGTACTTGGCCTATTGTTTCTAGAAGGAAAATGTTAGAGAATCTTGCATCTACACTAGAATGCAATGGGTATTAATTTACTAGAAAATTTT